ATGAACACAATAAAGGACAGAAATGGTATGGACCTAACAGAAGCAGAAGATATTAAGAATAGGTGGCAAGAATGCATAGAAGAACTATACAAAAAAAATCTTCATGACCCAGATAATCATGATGGTGTGATCATTCACCTAGAGCTAGACATCTTGAAATATGAAGTCAACTGGACCTTAGGAAGCATCACTACGAACAAAGCTAGTGGGGGAGATGGAATTCCAGTTGAGCCTAGATCCTAAAAGACAATGCTGTGAAAGTGCTGCACTCAATATGCCAGCAAATCTAGAAAACTCAGCAGTGGCCACAGGACTGGAAAAGGTCAGTCTTCATTCTAATCCCAAAGAAAGGCAATGCCAAAGAATCCTCAAACTACTGCACAATTGCACTCATCTCACACGCTAGCAAAATCATGTTCAAAATTCTAAAAGCCAGGCTTCAATAGTACATGAACTGTGAAATTCCAGATGTTCAAGCTGGATTTAGAAAAGGCAGAGGAACCAGAGATCAAATTGCCAACATCTGTTGGATCACTGAAAAAGCAACACAGTTCCTGAAAAACATTTACTTCTGCTTTATTGACTACGCCAAAGCCTTTGACTGCATGAATCACAATAAACTGTGGAAAATTCTTCAAGAGATGGGAATACCAGACCACCTGACCTGCCTCCTGAGAAATCTGTATGCAGGTCAAGAAGCAACAGTTAGAACTAGACATGGAACAAAAGACTGGTTCCAAATCAGGAAAGGAGTACATCAAGGCTGTATATTGTCACCCTGCTTATTTTACTTACATGCAGAGTACACCATGTGAAATGCCGGGCTGGATGAAGCTCAAGCTAGAATCAAGATTTCTGAGAAATATCAATAACCTCAGATACACAGATGACTCCACCCTTATGGCAGAAAACCAAGAAGAACTGAAGAGCCTCTTGATAAAAGTGAAAGAGGAGAGTGAAAAAGTTGGCTTAAAACTCAACATTCAGAAAACTAAGATCATGGCATCTGGTCCCATCACTTCATGGCAAATAGATGGGGAAACAACAGAAATAGTGACAAAATTTATTTTGGGGGCTCCAAAATCACTGCAGAAGGTGACTGCAGCCATGAAATTAAAAGAACCTTGCTCCTTGGAAGAATAGCTATGACCAACCTAGATAGCATTTTAAAAAGCAGAGACATTACTTAGCCAACAAAGGTCCATCTAGTCAAAGCTATGATTTTTCCAATAGTGTGAGAGTTGGACTATAAAGAAAGCTGAGCGCCGACAAATTGATGCTTTTGAACTGTGGTGTTGGAGAAGACTCTTGAGAGTTCCTTGGACTGGAAGGAGATCCAACCAGTTCATCCTAAAGGAAATCAGTCCTGAATATTCATTGGAAGGACTGATGTTGAAGCTGAAGCTCCAATACTTTGGCCACCTGATGCGAAGAATTGACTCATTGGAAAAGACCCTGATGCTGGGAAAGATGAAGGCAGGAGGAGAAGGGGACGACAGAGGATGAGATGGTTGGATGGCATCACCAGCGCAATGGACATGAGTTTGAGTAGGCTCTGGGAGTTGGTGATGGACAGGGAAGCCTGGCGTGCTGCAGTCCATGAGGTCGAAAAGAGTTGGACACTACTGAGCGACTGAACTGACCTGAACTGAAGAGTAGGTAAGTGGAGAGATTTGAGACTGATGATGATAAAGAGCAGCTGCAGTAGAGATGAGAGACTGGGGACTGGAAAAGCATTTCACGAGGCCAATGGCTTCATCAAGGATGAATCTGTAGCCATCACAAATGGAGGCAGGGTATTCCCTGGGGGTCCCGTGGCTAAAAATTTGCCTGCCAACACAGAGGACACAGGTTCAATACCTGGTCCAGGAAGATTCCACATGCCCTGGGGCAACTAGGCCCGTGCACCACAACTACCTAGTCTGAGAACCCTAGAGCCCATGCTCGGCAACAAGAGAAGCCACTGCAATGAGACGCCATTGCACCACAGCTAGAGAGTAGCCCTGCTCGCCGCAACTAGACAGCAACAAAGATCCAGAACAACCACAAGTAAGTAAATGATAATTAAAAGGATGGAGGGAGGGCTCAGCATGGACCTAGTGGGGGTGGGGTGTGGGGTGTGGGGGCAGGGGGACAGGGGGACAGGGAGCTGCCCCAGGTGAAGCCAAGACTGATAAAGGGGAGAGGAGGATGGTGCAAGAGAGTTAGTGGCAGGTCCCTCCCAACCTGGGGTTTTCCCTACAGAAGCATTGTGGCAGAAAGGATGTGATAAAAGACACCAGTGACAACCACACAGTAACACTTGTCTGTGTCCCAGCATGCAGGTTCCAAGCACTTTACACCTATGAACTCACTTAATCTTCACAGTAATCCTGTGAAATAAGGGATTATCTTACAACGAGGAAATCGAGGCCCAGAGAAGGCAAGTGACTTTTCCAAGATCACACAGCTGATGAGTGGCACAGGCTCGTGTAGTCAGACCTGCTCAGCATCTGAGCCCTGCCACTCAGGCAGTGACTGAGCCTTTGTCATTCAAAGAGTCAGGCCCATAACTGTGGCTCTGGGTCAGCTCAGAACCTGGCTGGCCTGTCCCTGTCTCTGCCTGACCTGTAGGATCCAGGTCATGAAGAGGTGCGACGTCACAGGCATGACAGACCCTGGTGACTTTGCCAAGAGAGTGACCGGGTCCCCATTGCCAAGAGGAGCCAGGACTGTGTGGTGACAGCAGAAACAGAGATCTCTCTGAGCTGCAGGGGTGGCTGCAGCCCCAAGGATTCCCAGAAGTGGAGGGGTGGGAGAGGGCCCTAAGGGACCAGCACTCAGAGTCACTGGCTGGGGTTCAGGCATCTAGCTGTGCCCTACATACCACACTCATGGTTCAGAAAGCATAACAGATGCCTGCTGTCTTGCATTTCCCCATTTTTGTAATTTTTTCCATCATATTTTATCACTCAAAAAAAGAATTGATGCTTTCATCAGTGTTGCTGAAGAAGACTCTTGAGAGTCCCTTGGACAGCAAGGAGATCAAACCAGTCAATCCTAAAGGAAATCAAGCCTGGATATTCACTGGACAGAGGAGCCTGGTGGGTGTCAGTCCCTGGAGTCGCAGAGTTAGACACAACTGAGCAACTAACAGTGAACACCGGTGTGCTTCTGTGAACCCAAGCTCCTAATTTACTCTTCCTCAACCCCCAATCCCACCCTCCCCACACCAGCTTCCCTTTGACCCCACATGTCAGACAGAAGAATGGTAACCAACCATTTGGGCGGCCCAGGACTCAGAGACCTCCTGGCAGCCAGAAATTTTCCCACTAAAGTTGTTGTTCACACACACGTCCACAGGATGCTGCCCAGGAGCCTGGGAACCTGTGGACAGGCAGGTGGGGACACCAGCCTGGGGCTGCCCACCCCCCACCCTAGAGGCCCTTCTCCTGCCCCTAAAGAGGGCAGGGCTGTCCCTCAGCTAGTCTTCCCAAGAGACTCTCTAGTCAAAGCTGGGGACAGCAGACGGGAAGAGCCGCTGCTTCTCCCGCCCTGGGAGATGCTCTTGTGTCCTGGGACGTGTTCTGGGGTAGGTACCTAATCCCTCCTGAGGACAGACTGGGGAGACAATGTGGATATAGGGTGGGGGCTTGCCTTTAGCGATTTCTCGAGATGCTGATATTCTGGACTGGCTCCCTGACTTCGGTCAAGTCTTGTGTTTCAGATCCTAAAATCTATAACTTATAACACACTCTCTCTCCGCAATGCTTTTTACCTGAAGATTTCTCGCTCATCCTGCTTAGTTTACTCATAGGAAACTAAATTTCAACCCCCCCTAGATTTATTTTCATCCACATGCGAGCATGTGCTCAGTCACTCCAGTCGTGTCTGACTCTTTGTGACCCCCGTGGACTGTAGCCCACCAGGTTCCTCTGTCCGTGGGATTCTCTAGGCAGGAACACTGGAGGGGATCGCCTTGCCCTCCTCAAAGGGATCTCTCCAGCCCTGGGATCGAACCCATGTCTCTTGAATCTCCTGCAGTGCAGGCAGATTGTTTATCTTCCCAGAGCCATCTGGGAAGCCATTTTCATCCACAGGAGAAGGTCAAAGAAAAAGTAGAAATGATTTCAGTACAGCGTGTTTCTCAGCTGACACTTGCTTCTCCACCACACCCTGGGAGGGGCTGGGTGATAAGACACCCCTGTTTCACACATAACCCCTCAGGATCAAGGGCAGCGGCCCCGGCACAGAAAGCAAACGGGGAGTCAGTCAGTCTGGAAAATACACACTGCCAGAGAACCAGGTAAACATTTCTTGACTTTGGCCTGGAGTTGCCTTCTGGCCCACACCCAGCCCACCCAGATTGAGGCCACGCGTCCCCATCCCCGCCCTCCTTGGTGTCCCTGCCCCGTCCTCCCCGTCCTTTCCATCGCCACCCCTCCCCAGGATCTGCCTTCAGGCCAAAGGGCTGTAACCAGCCCAATTCCAGGCAGCTCAGGCCTGGGGGGCTTCAGAGCAGAGAATCTACAAGACACACAGGCATTTCCTGCTGCTGACACGGACTGCTTCTTACAGCACAATTTCAAGATCTATTTACAAGGACAAACCCTCTTCTCTGAATTTTACACGAAGCCTCCCGTCCCCGCCCAGAAGAGTAGGGCAGAAGGTGGGGTGGAGGTGGGGGGAAGCCCCCAGCTGACCGCACATCTCAGGAGCTCGGGAGGACCCCCCCCGCCCAGGACTGGAGAGGCCAGGGGCCAGGACAGCCCCTCCTCCAGACCCACAAGAGCACCCAGACCCCTCCCCTGCCACGCCATTCGTTCGGCCCCCCGGGGGACGACAATGTCAGGCTGCACCAGCGGTGATGTCAGACTGCTCCATCAGGGTCATACCTGAGCTATGAAACAGTTAAGAAATATCTTGCCCCACTGGCTGCCGCACTCATAAAGGGACATCCACCTGTACTTCCGTGTGGCTCCAGAAAGGGCGGCTCTCTCTCTCTCCTCTCTCGCTTGCTCATGCCCGGCGGGGAGAGAAGGCAGCGGCTGGCAGCACCACCCCCTGCCCATGCAGGCCAGCCCGGGGAGCAAGGCCGGGCCCCTCCCGCCCCTGCCTTCCCAGCGATGCTCCTGGGGAAGCTGTGGGGAACGTGTAGCCTCGGACGCTGTGCTCTCTTCTTCGGCCTGGCCCTCCTGCTCGACGTCGTGGGCCTGGTCCTTCTGCTCGTGGGCATCTTCGCCTCCCTTGACTTCTGGGACTTCTTGATCTACACGGGGTCCCTGATCCTGGCTTTCAGCCTGCTCTTCTGGATCGCCTGGTACACCCTCAACATTGAGGTGCCTCTTGAGAAACTGGACTTGTAGTCTGGCCGTGGGCAGAGGAGGAGGACATGGGCTTCCTGGCAGGTGGAGGAGAGCAGGGGTATGCTGCCCAGCCAAGGACCAGGTGAGTGCCCCTGACTGGCCTGCAGGCCTGGCGGGAGGCTAGACCGAACAGAGGGGAGACTGAAGGGACAGGTGGCCTGAGGACCGCTTCGCGGCTGGGGACTCTGTCCACCTGGGTTCCAGCGGCAGGCACTTCCCTCCCTGGGGACCCCTTTCCTCACGGAAACTGGAAAGGGGGTCTCCACAGACACTATTACTTTGGATCCACCACAATGGTCCTGCCGTGTGGAACAGGAAGTTATCCCTTCAGCTTAGAACGTGGAGCAAGGAGCCCACCTGGACTCTCTGTTTAGGAGAATGCTTGCTTGGGAGAAATTTGAGCGCTGCAATAGGATGGAAAGTTCCCTGATGGCTGCTTATGCCCTCACCTTGAGGGCTGCTTGCTGAAGGAGGAAGCGGAGCAGAACCTTCCAGGATGGCCCTTCTCATTTCCTTCCTCCTGCACCTGCCCAGATGGGACATTTGGAAGGGGTCAGGACCTGCCTCCACATCCCCTCTCAGCGCACCTGCCTCCTCTCTCAGTGGTGCCCCCACCCCACACTCCCAGGCAGCCAGCACCCCACCCACCCACCCCCAGCTAGCCTGAGAGACCTGGAAACCGAGGGACTGTGACTGACCATTTCATCCCAGCTGGGCCAGCACTGGGCTGACCAAGTGTAACCAGGGAGGCAGATAATTGTAAGGTGTTTCACGTGAACATGGAATGCAAAAAGACAGAGCTGGTCTGGCCCCCACAACCCTGAACTAGAAGTGGGTAGCTCTCCCCAGAGGACTGAAGTTGGGGTCCTGGTTAGTTTGGTCATCATCCCCTCCTCCAGGTGGGCTGGACCCTGCCCCTAGGCACAGCTGGGCACTCCCTTTTGATAGCTGCATGGGAAAGCAAAGGTCATCTTCGGGTTGGAAGGAGGCAATCATAACTGTGTCTTTTCTGGGGGATTCTACCTGACCCTTGGAAGGGGGAGAGGGAACAGTGATTTGGAGAGGTTTCAGGAGGGGAGGCTGAACTGTCCCCGGCAGGCGAAAGGACAGAAATGAGAAGTCAGAGCACCTGGGTCCTGCTCGCAGCAGCACCACTTGTTTGCTCAGGAGGCATCATGCCTCAGTATTCCCTATTTACAATTCCACCTGTAAACTGGGGATAATGACCTGCCTTTGTTGTTGCAACACAAGGATGTGTCAGGCACTGTGCAAGGAGCTGGGGATGCTGTGAAGAGTAAGACATACAAGCTCTTTATCCTCAGGGAATTCCCATCAGGTGAGAGATAGACATGAGTCAAATAGCCTGACCAATGAGGCATCAATACAAGGACAGTCTGGTGAGGATTAGGAAGAAAATGGATATTGCTCCTTGGGAATGTTCAGTAGAGAAACTGACCCAGAAGGTGGGGTCTTACAGAGGGAGGAGGTGGCCTGAGCAAAGATCCTGGGGTAACAGGAGAGAGAAGAGAGCAGATTGATTGAAGGACAGGTGGCAAGTGCAGCGGAGGTTCAGGGCCCTGCGGCAGGCGGGGGCCAGACCAGGCGGGGCCTAAAGTCTTTTTAGTTGTGATTTCAAGAACAAGAAGTCATTAAAGAGATGTACGAAGGGGTAGGGACTTGACATGATTTGATCTGTTTCCAAAAGACCACCTTGGCCAAAGGCACGGATGACAATGATGGTGACCTGTGCGAGCCCATCTGGGGAGTTCAGTCGCTCGCCTAAACAACAAGGGGTCCCCAGTTCAGTCTCCTTGTCCTTCACATCCTCCCTTCATTGAATTGAAAGTAGTTCAATAACCCAGTGATGAAGACCACTGGTCAAGACTCAGACTGTCTAGTTTGAATCCAGTCTTGTTTCTTACTAGCTACAAGACCCGGGGCAAGTTACAGACTAGTTATAAACTAGTTACGACTCCATGACCTAGTTTACAAATCTGGAAAATGGAGAGGGTGCTAATAATAGCCTCTATTTCAGAGATGATGCTAATGATATCCCCACCCTCATAAGGGTGCTGCAGAGATTAAGTTCATGTGCGTACAGCACCATAAGAGTGATAGTTGATGAAACAAAGGGCCCTCCAATAAACCTGTGTCCTCATGCGGGTAGCCAGCCCATTACAGCAGGGTAGGACCTTCCTCGGAGACAGACATCCCTGAAGCCTTCCCGACCAATTCCTCAAGCAGCAGCATATGGTGTTAAGATTCCCCAGTGGATATGGGTGAGGGTCGCCCCAGAACTCCGGACTTCTGAGCTCAAAGGGACATCAAAAGTTGTGGGTCCATTGTGGTCTTACTGAACACAATCAGGCAAATATCTCCTTCACCGGTTCAGTCCCCAAACTCCGAGTTCTACAGGATCCGAGAGTCAGCTGGCCCTTCCATCCAGCTCAGCTTGGACCCTGCATCCCTGAGGGTATCTGGGGCTGCCCAGAGTTACAGATTGTGGTTGGCCGGGACCCACTGTTCAGGGGCTGCTCACCACCCACTGGAAGACCTTGGGCAAATTATCTGACGTCCCTCTTGGAGTAGAAGGTTTGGTCCCCAGGAGAGTTTTCAGATTGTTTTCTCCAGAGGCTGCTGGGGGCTGGGGCCGCAGTAGGCAGGCAAAACCTCACAGCCCATCTGTCCTACACACCAGAGCCGTTGGGTCAAGTATGAAGGTTCATACCAGACTTTGACATAAGACTTCGTGAATTTGAACCCAAGTTTTGATGCTAAAAGATATTTCTGAAACACCTCGACTCACCCACTTCCTTTCTGTGACCTGTGTCCCTGATGTTCTCTCTGACCATATTCGCAATTTATGGGCAGTTTATAACTGGCTCAGCCAGTTCTGCAGTCCTTGGAGTGGAGCAAAGGGAAGAGTGCATGCCCGAGAGGCTTGGTGGGGTGGTTGCTAGGACACCCCAAACCCACCCACCCGGAGACCAGCAAGCAGGTCACCCCCCATTCAGCAGTCAGGACAGAGCAGGGTCACCCGGTCTCTAAAACCTCCAAGACATTCCAGGAGTTTTGGGATGAGCAGCTCGTTTTTATCCCTCGACTATGTACCAAGTGGTTTTATAATTCGGTCGCTCTATTTTCCAAAGCTTGGCTTGCTCCACGCTCTCCTGGTTGGGCATCTTTTGTGGATAAAGTTCCCACAAAGGCAGGGGAGGACGCGTCCTTTCACAAGAGGGGGTGAGTTTACACTCCCCCCAAAATGCGCACACACACACCACACACATGTACCCACATCCCCGCCCTCTGCACACATTCCCAATGTACACCCCCCTTGCGTCCCCTCATAAACATGCCCACAGGCACACACACTCAACGTGCACGCCAACCTCTCCCATCACACACACCCAACTCGCACACAATCTATCCCCATACACTCTCCCCACACACCCACACACACCCACACTCCTCACCTACACCTTCCATACACATCAACACCCCACGCACGCACACGTGTCACATGTCCCTCACCCGCTGCACACACACATTCACACACACATAAAAACCTCACAATCACGAGGCTTCCACATCCCATCTGCCCTGTTCACACACAAACAGGCCCTCACACCTGCCATGCACATGCCAGAAAGATACCCCCACAGCAACAAGCATTTCCACCTCCAGCGACCAACGCCGAAAGGTGTGGAAAGGCGCCCAGCCCCGAGCCCTGGGAAGAGCGCTTCTTCCTGCTCACAGGCTCTCCTCTCTGCCTCCGAGGGGCCAGTGAGGCTGCCAGGTCGACTCAGAGCAGAGCTGGCTGGAAAGGCCTGCCTACCCGTGCGGTGCGCGCTCTGGGGCTGCAGGAAGAGCTAAACTTTCTCTAAGTCCTGGAGGAAATGTCAGTCTAGAAGGAGAGAGCAAGCAAGTACACAGGGCCTCGAAAATGTACACGGAAGAAGCAGGGTCTCACAGGGGCCTGAAAGCCCAGATGAAGAAGAGGGCTGGGGGAGAAGGTGGGTGACATGTGGCTTCAGCTTCTGGGTCCCGAGCAACCGATAAGCGTGCGCCGGGCAGAGCCGGCACTTGGGAAGACCCAGAGAGAAAGGAAGGGAAGAAGAGGGTGGCCCAGAAAGGGTATGCAGATGCTGCGGACCCGGGTTTGGGGTTCTCACTGCTGAACTTGGAGGATGTTGAAAGCCAGATGAGGACCCTGGCACTTGGAAAGCAAGGAGGGACTTTCGATGGCTCCGTGGTCTGGAGGGTGACTTGGCTAGGTTTGATTGAGGAAGAGCAACCTGGTGTCACTTGCAGCAGGGGCTGGGGAGGAGAGGCATGGAGACTGCAGGGGCGGGGTGGTGGGGGGACATTTGAAAGCAGGGGCAATAACCAGAACCTGAACCAAAGTGATGGCTGCCGGGAGGAGGGGAGAGGGACAGAGACCCTGTGGGTGGACAACAGACGCCCAGGAGACATCCCAGTCTCCCTCAAGGGGGAGGGGGAGTGGTCGTGTCACAGACTTCAGGAAACACTCCCACCGTGGAATCAGGAGAGGTCGGGGAAGGCATGGGCTTGCTCAAAATCTGGTGTTTTCCTCTGCACATGCAGAGCTGGGGGGGAAGGGGATACCGGTCAGCAGAACTGCCCAACAGGCCTAGAATGTGCAGAATTTACACTCAGAAAGGGGCTCATACCTGGAGTTGGAGGCAGGGCCTGAAGACAGGACTGTGGACGGGAGTGAAGCAGGTGGGATGGCAGAGGAAAGGAAGGTGGGTCAGTATTCGTTGGGCTCGTCACTTACTTTCAAGACTTCATTTGATGCTTACAACTCTGTGGGTTTGGGGTTCAGATCCCCATTTTACAGGTGAGGAAACTGAGTCTCAAGGTAGTTTCAGGACTAGCTCTGAAACTGTCGAGAGCCAGCACTAGAATTCACACCCAAGTCCAGCAGGCTCTGAGAACCATGCTTGTTTCACCCTGTCCAGGCTTGAGTTGACAGGTTC